GCGTAAATTGGTGTTTCGGTAATTATATTGTGGCCCAATATGCTGTTTTACCCCCTCAGCGCCCCACAATCAGTGCAGGACAATTTTGACTAATGTTGCACAGTAGATCTACTTCCCAAACATCAAACTATATTGTCCAATCATCACTTCAACACCACAAGACATTCTAACCATGGCAACACCCCCAGGGTAGATGTTCTCCTCCTCCTCCCCTAGACGCGGCACCACTACCAAGGCCACGATCATTGTTTTTGTGTCCGGTGTGCTTCCCATCACTTAGTATTGATATGGGGCTACCCATTACAGCAAAAACCAAGACAATCGAACCGCTATATCCCCAGTTCTGGCCTGCCCGCCCCCTTTCACGGCGATAGGGTAATATCTTGCTGACCGTTTATGCTATAACTTTGGGATGAATGGACCGATTCCTTCAAGATTCGATTTTAACCATCTTATGCATTTATCAGTCAGAACCCCCAAAATCGACCTCCTTCATGTTGCCGAAATCGGGCCACAATTCACGTTTTATACGTCAATTCCATCGAAATGACACCCGGCAATGCGATCCGTTTGTCCTAATTCACAAAACTCACTAAGTTACCGAAGTACCCCCAGATCACCCCGTTTTCCCTACCGATCTACCCCCAGGTACCCAGTACCCCCACCCTAGCATCCCTACTATTATTCTACCATTTTTCCGTATTTTTATTGGCCACCGTTCTATCCCTATTCACCCTACGATCATCCCTGTCTATTTTCCCCATTTTATCCATCCATAACCCAGCCCGTTCCACCATATACACCCTACCTACCCGCCCTACCCATTCCCTAGCACCCCTACCCCATCCCCTACCCCCTACCCTACCCCTAGGACCACCCCCATACGCCCTACCCCATCACCCTGGGCCACCCGGCCACCCAGAACCACCCCCCGGCCGCCCCAGTAGCCAGCCCAGTGCTGGCATTTATTATTATTTTCCTGAGGAACCATTGTAAAGGATCCTGTGCTTACTAGCAGGTACCTTTATAAAGGTCTTACATCTACGCCTGGTGCGTCGCCTAACTAGGAATGCGGTAAAGGAAAAGAAAAGGAAAAGATACACAAAGTAACAAAGAAGAAAAAGTGTCCATAACATTACCCCCCTTCTACGCATCAAGTTAGTCCCCGAACTTACCAGGGCCAAAGACTCTCGATCTCCCATTCCTTGCTCAATGTCTTCGCCTTCCACGCGTCTAACCTCGCCCACCACTTCTTGTTCGTCTTCTTCGCGAGTGTTGGGCACATCCTCTTGCCATGTCCGTGACGTTTGCAGTACCAGCATCGACAAAGGTCGGCTGATTCTCGTGCTCAACGGGGGACGGTGGCGTAGTAGGGTTTCTTGGTGGTCTTTCCAAAAAAAAGCCGGGGTGAGGAGTATGGTGTTGGCGTCAGTGACTAGGGCGTGCTCATAACGAAGGTAAAGACAGTGCTTGCAGATGGCCGAGCTGGGGTGGAAGCACGCATGGGTGCAGGGGTGGGGTGATCACGGGTGAATGGTCGTTGATTTGGTGAACGAGTCGGGGAGGACTCGGGCTCCGTTTCCTCTTGCACGTCCTCATCATCTCCTCCCTGTCCTCCTGTTCCTGCAGTATGTCCTGCGCCACCTCCATTAGTGTTTTCTTCATTGTCGTTGTCATCGTCGTTGTGTCGTCGTCTCCTCTTCCATTTCCTGTCTCATGGTCGGCTGCCTCTCTGTCACGATTGGCACGTGCTCAGGCGATGGCCTCCTCGGCTCCCATGTCCTGGAGGGCCAGGGCAATGGTGTCTCGCTCCTAATATCCGGCTCCGAGTCATCTTCTTGTCAGGGAGAGCTCCTGTTTTCGGGCCTCGATGGCGCTGGACTGGGCATCGATCTCGGCCTGAACACGGCGATAGGTAAGGGCTTGAGCCTGGACATCTCGGTTTGAGACATGGGCGAGGACGTCGATGAACTGGGTGTCGTTTCGGACTCGGGTGAGGTAGTTGTGAAAATAGAGGGGGAGACGAGGTAGAACAGAGGCGGGGTAATACAAAGAATCCGTTGTGGATGATGTGCCGGTCTGAGAGGAAGGCTGGGGTCTGGCGGGAGGGTTGTTGAGGATGTCAGAGTCCGAGTTGTTGTCAACGGGGAACCGAGCGGGTCGGACGGGAGAAGGTGGACGAAAGGGTCGAGTCGAGGCCTCGGGTTGAGGCTGGTGGTAAGGGGTTTGGGGGCGAGCTGGCATGAAGGGAGTAGGAGGATGTGGGATATAAGGGGGTGGCATCTGGCCTTGAGTGGGTTCTTCTGTTTTATGCATGATGCTAGCGCCATTAGGATTGAGAGGAATGTGAGCAAGATTTATATTATGGGGGGAACGGGGGTTAACAATGGCGCGGCTTATGCTTAGCTTCATGGTCGTGGCTATCTTGTAAAAGGGGTGACGGCCTTGTGCAGTGTTGTCGATGATGACATTGACGAGCTGATTGGCTCGTTTGAGGTCGACACGAAACTGGTCCCTGGCAATCAGGTTGGACCTGACTGGGGCTCGGAACTGAACCGTGTTTCCCCCGATTGGGAATAGGGCAGCCTGGGTGGCTGTGGGGACTTTGTTAAAGGATAGGGAAGGGACCATACGCCTTCCTTCGGCATTGACACGATACCCTTCTTCATTGATGTGAGTGGCTTGGTGGGGGATATTCTCCCTTTCCCGAGTAGGGTACACGTACACTTGCAGGCCCGACGTGGCGAGGTCTTGTGTGACGACGGCAACATTATAAAGAGGACGGATTGGAATATTGTGATCGTTGGGAAGGGTAAGTAGAATGTTGTAAGGGCGAGCATTGGGAGTTGGATTGGGCTGACTGGCATAAGGGTGAGCGTTGGAGGTTGGATTGGTCTGGCTGTTGGGAGCAGGGTTGGCCTGCGTGTTAGAGGCGGGGTTTGGCTGAGTGTTAGGAGCGGACATGGTGATTGATTTCAAACGATTTTGAGACTTGGTGGGTAGTCGGCGAGTAGACGTTGACTGGGGAGGAGTGAAACGATGGAATTTTACCCCCCTTCTTATAGTCAACGTTGCCGAGGCTGTGTACGTGTCATCTTGGCGGGTTTATGGGAATGAGAGGGGGCATCTGGATGTGCCAAGTAAAAGTCTAGTACCACTTGATCGTCGTCGTGGAATTCTGTGTGAGGTCTCCATTGGTTCTCGCTGTCGTCATAGCCTGCATAGTGTACTAAGAAGTGCAGGGCTTGAGAACGAGAACCTTCGAGTCTGCGCCATCCAGCGTCTTGGATCTTGTCAACTTCCCACTCTTCCTCTTCATTTATGACGTAAGGTGGGGGATTTATAGAATTTGGTCCATGTTCATTGGTCTCATGGTAGAGTGTGAGTAAGTTGGCGTGAAATACCGGGTGAATTGTCCATTGCGCAGGGAGTTTGAGTCGGTACGTGACCGGTCCTGAGACTTCCTCTATCGCAAATGGACCAAATCGCTTGGGCCGAAGTTTTGCCGATGGGTGCATAGTTGTAATGTTCTTGCCTTCAAGCCATACTCGTTGGCCCTTTTGAAGACTTGGCATATTTCCTTGGTCATGTCTTCGCATAAGTTCCGCAGCCATTGCGTGAGAGGCTTCGGCATCAGAGCGGGCTTTGTCCAATTCTTCCAAGCGTTGTTCGACTGCGGGGGCAGAGGATTCGTGTCCCAGCGATGGAAACCAGTGGGGATGATAACCCATGAGAAGATAGAATGGTGTCTGGCCTACGGAAGAGTGCTGTGCCGAGTTATGTGCAAATTCTGCAAATATAAGATATTTTGCCCAATTGTTTTGTCAAAAATTGCAGAAAGCTCGGAGGTATTGTTCGAGTTCTTGGTTTACTCGTTCAGTTTCTCCGTCGGTTTGTGGATGATAAGCTGTTGAGAACCGCTGTTTTATGCCTAATTTCTTGTACAATTCGCGTATGAAATTTGCATTAAACTAGGGTCCTCAATTGGATATATTGACCTGAGGTAGTCCAAAGCGCCAGAAAACACATTGGAGATATATATCGGTGGTTTGTTCAGCCGTTATAGTCTTGTGGCATGGGACCATTATTGCCGCCTTTGTCAAATTATGGTCGACAAACACCGCTATGGAGTCGTATCCGTCGGATTTTGATAGTTCGGTAATAAAGTCCATGGTGACTGCTTGAAAGGGTAGCGTGAATTCTACTACAATTGATTGAGTCGGGATTGGCAGTTTCCGTGGTTGGTTTTTGGTGGCTTGGCATACTATGCATCCCTTGACGTAGTTTCGTACAAAGGTGGTCATCCCGGGCCACCAAAACTCTCGTCCTACTGACAAAACTGTGGCAATTTGTCCTCGATGGCCCGTGGTGGCCATGTCATGATGGAGCTGGACGATTGTTTGTCGTAGGCTGAGGTCGTTTGGAACGTAGAGTCAGTTACAATAATAAATCAAGTCGTTTTGAACCCTCCAGTCCTTTAAATCTTGAGCAATCACGCGATTGTCTCCTTTTAAGGCTTCTAGGGTTTTGACGACTTGTTCGTCGTAGTTAGAGCTGTCACAAATTTGAAAGTGGATTGAATCCATGTCTAACAGAATTTGATCTTCATTGTCCTGGGATCCATCGTCGTGATCTTGTCTTCGAGATAACCCATCCGACCTTGTTTGTGTCTTTCTGGGTTTGTGGGTAATCTGAAAGTCGTAGTCTTGTAATTCTGCGCTCCATCGGGCTTGACGTCTGTTAAGCTTACAAGCGGTTCGGAAATACTGTAGATTACGGTGGTCTGACCATACGTCTATTTTGTGTGGACTTCCTGCAAGATAGTGCCTCCATGCTTCGAAGGTCTTCATGATTGCTAGAAGTTCATGGTCGTGTACATCGTAGTTCCGTTTGGGTTCGCTCATTGAGGCAGAGATGTAGGCGCATGGATGCCAGTGTCCTTCATGTTGCTAGGATAGTACTCCTCCTATCGCAAATCCGGATGCATCACATTCTACTCGGAATGGTTTCTCGGGGTCGGGTTGGATAATAACAGGCGCTGTCGTAAAGGCCTGTTTGAGGTTATCAAAGGACTTTTGTTCCATGTCTGTCCATCTCCACTTGACATCCTTCTTCGTTAAGTCATTGAGGGGTCGTGCTTTGTCCGAGAAGTTTTGAATAAATTGTCGATAGAAATTTCCGAATCCTAAAAATGACCTAACATCCATTAAATTTTTTGGAGTGGGCCACTCTAGTACTCCAGCAACTTTGATGGGGTTCATCGAGATTTTTCCATGCCCTAAAATCATTCTAAGGTATTCGACTTCTGAAGCTTCGAAGGTGCATTTTTTGGGTTTAAGAAACAGGTCGTTGTCTTGAAGTCGTTTTAGGACTTTATTGACAATAGTTCGGTGTTCCTCAAGTGTCTCGGTTCCGATGAGGATGTCGTCCATGTAAATTACCACTTTCCCAGTGGCAATTAAGTCTTGGAATATATTGTCTATCATCGTTTGGAAGGTTGCAGGGGAATTGGTGAGGCCGAAAAACATGACCATGGGTTCGTATTGACCTCAGTTGGTAAGGAAGGCTGCTTTTCACTGGTCCCCGTCGGCTATTAAAATATTGGTATAGCCGTATCAAACGTCCATTTTTGTGAAAATGAAGGCGGTAGCCATTCTGTCGAATAGTTCTGTGGTAAGGGGTAGTGGGTATCAATTTTTAATGGTCATTTTGTTGATTTTCCCATAATCCTGGACTGGTCGTAGTTCCCCATCCTTTTTCTTGACAAAGAAAAATGGTGATGCTAGTGGAGAGTTAGATTTACGGATTGTGCCTCTTTCAAATGTTCGTTTAGGAATTTATCGAGTGCTATTTGTTCAGCCGGGGTAAGAGGATAGACCTTGCATGTGTTTCGTGGTACGGCATCGGGTTTGAAATCTATGCAATGGTCCCAAGGCTTTGAAGTGGAGAATCGTTTTGATTCTTCGTCGCTGAAGACTTTTCGGAATTGTTGATATTGTTCTAGTACAATTTCCTTGTAGGTGCGGGCTTCCTTGGTTTTAGAAGCTTCTTCAGCAAGTTCTGTAGATTTCGACGCACGTCGCACAAACTCTTCTTCCTCGTCTTCTTCAAATCCTGGCGTCCACCACACTTCATCATCTTCTCCTAGTTTCATGGATTTTATAAAGGCCTGCCCGGCTTCCTTGATACATATCCTGTAGCGATGTTGATCCAATCGCTTCTGGACTCATTCAGAAAATGTAGTTTTCGCTACCGTTTCTCTGAATGTCGTCTTTACGCCTCCTATAATTCTGGAAGTGTGGTGTTCCTTAATTGCTTTAAGGATCTTCTTTTTCTTCTTCTGTTTCTTCTTTTTGCGCATTGTGAGTTCGCAGGAAAGAGAACAGTCTTAGAACAGCATATGCCCGTTTCTCCAGTTAAGGGCTGGATTACGTTTCCGTAGCCAAGGAAGTCCTAAGATTAAATTGTCTTCTCCTATGTCGGTGACAGAGAATTTGGCATGTTCTTTGTGATCACCGACTTTGAGAGTGGTTTTGATATAGTTCGTAATTTTTCCTAGGATGTTGGCAGAGTTGTCAATATTTCAAACGATTTTGGGTTTTGCATAGGCCTTGGTGGGGATTCAGTGTTTTCAGATAAAATTCCAATGGATGAATAGCCCGCTGGCTCCTGAGTCAATTAGAGCACGGGTATAGACGTCTTGATGATTCTCTCTGATGTAAACTGGAAAACGCATAGATTGTGGCATAGCTATTGTCCGTATGAGTACATCGCGAGGGAATCGTATCCGTGCCTGAAGTTGCGTCACGAGCTTCAGGCCTTTCAAAAATCCTGTCCATTGTTCGACTCCGTGTCTCTTCCTACTTCTTCCATCTCCCCAAACATCTCTAGGACCGTGTCCTGATCTTCATTCGTCATATTCTGGATCTTGCGAACGAGTTCTTGTATCACATTCTTCTCTTGGGGTAGAGCTTCATTCTGTGGCAGGTTTGAGGTCAATGTCAGTTGGTTATTGACTGTGGTCTGGCGAATCTGCTGACAGAAAGGATTGGTGTTTTTGCCTGGGGCGCCTTGGTTGTTCTTTGGGTGAAACTTGGGATCGGCGGCACGATGTCTGATCTGGTCACATCTAAAATACCTTCCTTCCTGTATGTACTTCTGGCGTTCCTGAAAACTGAGGTTGACCGCTCAAACTTGGGTTGTGTTGGAGCGGTTCTTCTCGTTAAAGGATCGGCCGCGATTGCCTGGGGTGGAGGCATTAGATGCTCTCCATTGCGCGTCCATGGCTGTTGCCCTTTCGTACCATTCCTCGAACAATACTGGCAGCGGGAATGTGCTGTAGATCTTGGTGCGAAGGGCATGGTTGAGGCCTTTCTGAAAAAATGTGACCTTCACATTATTTCCTTTGATTTTGCCTTTGGAAATAAGGATCTTGAACTTGGTGACGTAGTCGGTGGCGTTCATATTTCCCTGGCGGAAACTATCCAGGTCGAACCAGCTCTGTATTTCTTGAGCAGCGTGTTCGAACTCCCTTCGGATTTGTGCTTTGAAATCCTTCTAGGTTCCGTACTCCGGCTTCTTGGGCGTTATGGGAGATATGCCCAAGCCTTTCCCTTCCTCTCCCTCTTCGTCGTCACTATCCTCTTCAGGTCCATTGACCTTGTCCAAGAAGACTGTCTTTCATGCTCCTGCCGTATCCCCTTTCATATATGACAGAGCGAAGATAATCTTCTTTTCATCCTCCTTGTATTTTTCCGGGTTTGCAGCAAAATATAATTCGCAGCTGGTGATGAATTCCTGGACTTTAGAGGCTTTGCCTTTACAGCGCTAATCAGAAAGATGCGGAATCACATTTTTTGCGATTTCGCCTTTGGAGAGCACCGCAGGACCCCGGAACTAGTCGCGCGGGTGCCACCTCCGCCCAAGGTGTGGATTTGTGGGTACGAGCTCCTTCGCTCTCTCGATAATGCACTGCTGCCACGGGTGCCAGGTTGAAATACTTATGAGACAATACAAATGTATTTGAAGGTGTATAATTGTATCAGAGGGGTAGTACTAGATGAGGGTATACCGGTAAGGAAGATAGTAGTAGGGACTCTGTGTGAAAGTCGAGTGCTTGAAGTAAAAGAAGTGGCACAATATTGGAGAAGGATTATAATGGAGTAAAGACACTCAAAAGAGTCATGTATGGTAGCATAAAAGAACCCGAAAGATGTGATGGAAAAGAGTAGAGAGCTAGAATAAGACTAGAAAAACCTCGAGACTCAGAACCCGCCGGCACCAAAGAGATCGGAGCCATCATCATCTCCCACGCCCTCTTCAACGGGCACCCAACCATCCAGAACCCTCACCATCTGATCCATTGCTTCATTGAAGTACTGATAATAATGTTCAGTTGGCTTCGGAGCGTCACTGACCACCATCCGTGGGCCCCAGAACGTCCGTGCCCCAGAACTGTCCACTTCAACCTGCTCAAACCGAATCTTACGCTAATCCTCAGTCTTACGTGGGGCTGCCTTTTCGGTGTCAGGAGAGGATGAGCGAGAGCGCTTTACGGCGGGACTGTTGTACCATTTTGGGGCAGCACGCTTGAGACGAATGATGTCGCCCGGTGGAATTGCAAGCTTTCGGAGGTCAGCATTGTCCACTTCGTGCAAGATGTCGGGGCCATATCGTTCGAGCTCTAAGCGTCCCTGGTATAGCGTCGCATTTTCAATACCGACTTCTGCTTCTGCGTGCTCGAGAAAACGGCGAAGCTTAGTCGGTGTTGGGCGAGCAGGGGATCTAGCCGGCTCAGAAGTAGCGGTATTATGGTGGCGTCGAGTCGGAGTACTGGGCACAGGGGCAGCAGGCGCCACAGGATTAGGCTTTGAAACGTGCGTGGTCGAGGTGGGAGTCGATATGTCAGGGCGAAGTGCGGTGATAATCTGAGCAAGGGCCGTGATGTCACTGGTGGCCGGTGGAGCGTGTGCTGCAGCAACTGCCGCTTTGCGCTTGGGGTGGAGGATGACCTGGTGATTTTGGGGGTTGAAAGCATCACAATTGGGAGGGGTCTTCACCGTGGTTTGGTGCTTATACTGACAATGGCGATAAAATTGATCTGCATGAGCGAGTTATACCGAGAGACAAAACACTTGCTCACCAGTGCTCAACACCATTCTGAGATCATGGTCTTCGACATCACGAATGGCTCGCCCTGCAGGCCAACTTTCTCCGGCCTAAAGGTCTTTGCTCCGGTGGTCTTGTCGCTCCACTCCTTGAAAAGCATGCCGTGCGCATGGAGGAGTCCCCGGTTGCGTTCAGAATCTTGAGCAGGATCATGGGTCTGCCCGCACATCCAATGCACATCAGAACGGTCATGAGAAGTCGCTTGATGTGTGAAAGAACACACCATGTCATCTGCGGAATCTGAGTCAGAGTCACCGCTCGATTGGCCATTATTGGAGGCATCGCCTGCTTGCTGTATCTTGCATGCCTTTGCGACATCCTGAAGGTCAACAAAGATGGTGACCAACTCGATCTTCTTGTTCTTCTCAATACGTCGAACTAAATCATTGAAGTCAGATGTATCGTCGATTGTACGAGCATTTTTTTTGCTGTAGTGATGAAAAAACCAGCAGACCCTCGTTAGCTGTGATTTAGTATGTAATCAAACATATGAACGTACACTTTTTGAGGAGGGACAAGAGCTTGGATGCTAAAAGGCTTTCTCGCCGTGACACGGTATTTATTCTGTCCATGCCGTTCTAACAGGGCACGTAGGAGCCGTAAATAAGCATCCTGGCCTTCTTCAAACACAAAGTCCAACTCCTTTTTCTTCTCCGTCTTCGCTGGCCTCCCACTCTTCTTACCAGAACTGGCTGATGTTTTCGGATATTCTATGACGGCCAGCACAGTGATACTGCGAGCGTCTGCAGTCCCATCTAAAGAAGGATCCCAGTCTGGTGTGGGAGGCATGATTGAAAGGAGTGTGTAGCGGCAGAGATGAAAGTATAATTTTCTTGATAAGAAACGACGACACGATGAACGCCGAAAATGTCACAACACGTCACATACACACGTGTTTAAGTACCAGACCTTCTAGGTTGACAATATCATGCTGCAAGACATATATTCATAAAGAGAAGGAGCACACAATCTAACTACAGTATCCTAAAGACTTGAAGTACTCAAAGGCTTTCCATGGTCCTATAGCGTGGCATGCTTCATCGATAACACACAGGGAGGTGTCGTCCCAGTGCCGACGTAGGAATGCCTTGATCGATGAGAAAGCTTGTTCGATTGGATTGAAATCCGGGGAGTATGGGGGGAGGAATATAAGCTTGCACTCTGTTCCAAATAGTGAGCATCAGGTGCAAATAGACCACTAAAATGGGCCATACCAGCCTCATCCACAACTAACTGGTGAATCTTCTCTGCATGGTTGTCAAGGACAAGTACACTTCGTGGTCCAGGGTATGGATTTGTAAGTGGAATCTACAGTGATTATATTATGAGCCATCCAGAAAAGAGCAGGGATATGTAGAGACGAGGAATCTAAGTCAGCTGGAATGGAGAAAAACTCATCCAAGTAGTGTGCTTACCACATAGTCCTTGAGAAACTCATAAAACCTCTCTAAAGTCACAGAGCCTTCATAGATCTCATGGGCAATGATTCCATCAAGAGTGAGAGCAGGTAGGATCAAATAGCGCTTGCCCCGAACAAAGCACCGTCGCTGTACGCAACGAGTCCCCTTTAGCGACCACCCCTTATTCCTCCCCGCCGTCTTGTCATTCTTCGCCGCCTCATCCAGGAAGATTAGCATGTTCGGGTCGCTCACTAATTCTCCAATCTGAATCTCAAAGAGAGCGCGGAGCTTCTCGTTACGCTCAAGGGCCCTCTTAAAAACTGTCTTGTGTGTGTAGTGCAGATAGCGGAGAGTTCGGAGGATGGTTTTGAAGGAGACGTGGAGGTTTGGAAGGAGACGTGGACGCCACAGCGATCACGGATGATGTCTTGTAGCTCATCGACGTAGGTACAAGGATTCTCTTGGAGGAAGTGGTAGATGAAGTTGAGATGAATGTAGGACATCTTGCGATGTTGTCCAGGGCGTCGAGCGTGGATGTTCCAAGGAACGCCGAAACGACGGTGATACTTGAATGCATTGTATACACAGGTCTTCTTGACCCGGAGATACTCGCATATACGCCTAACCTTGAGCCGCTTTGTGTGATAAAGATGAGGGATCAAGGCTTTTCGGTCCTTAGAGACTGTCTGCGGGGCCATGGTAGTTGTGGAAGACAACGGACAATATGTGCCACATCACAACTCTGCCACAAGCGGTGTGTCACTACCTATGCCCCTAGCTATGTGTACAAAACCACCATAGAGTTACAATTTCTCATTTTTTTCCGTTTCAAATACATAGCTGCAATGTGCTTGCAATGTTTCAAAGAATGTACATAGACGCGACAAGCCACAGAAATAGATCTACGATATTCCACCCTGAGCTCGCACCTGGGCCACCGGCGCAACTGGTTCCGGGGCCGGCGGCGCTCTCCGGAGGCGAAATCGCAAAAAATGTGATTCCGCATCTTTCTGATTAGCGCTGTAAAGTTGTCAGGTGCGCTGATCTTGGTGTCTTTGGCCATATCGTCAGACTCGTCAGAGTCACTGTCTGTGTCTGAGTCTGTGTCTGCGCCTGATGAATTGCTTAGTGATGGTGGTGGCAGTGGTCCTTCCGGTGGTGCAGTATCCTTCTTGGTTTCCTTCTCTGGTTTCGCTCCTGAGCCTCCTGGTGGTGGTGGTGGTGGGGATGATTCTTCTTTAGAGTCGAAGTTAAGGTGCTCGTAGTCTGGATCTTTTGCTAGAACCCTGAATGGAACGTCTGTATGGTTTGCATACACCCAGTGGTTGTGTAAAACCTGGATGTTCTGTTCTTGTTGTTTAGTTTCAGTGCGTGTCCCATCTAGGAAGGTTCTGCACTTCCAACGTTCCCTGTCGTGGTATGAGTTGGCGGGTTTAGGAAGATGGTATGGGATAGTCCTTGTTCCTCCTTGACTGCTATATGTCGAAAATGGTACCTCTTTTTCATACCAATCCTTGTCTTCTTCGGTATATATCCAATGATCACCGCCTACCTTGCAGAAAAAGATAGAGTCTTGTTCTTTATAATGAAGGGGTAGTTCAGAGGTATAAAGTCTTCCAGAACCTTGGAGGACGTTTATATGGTCCGGGAGATATACTCCTCGGGGTACTTCGATTTGGGGTGCCGTGATGTCTATTTCCTGAGTCCCTCCACGGACTAATTGTTTAGGCTAGGAGAACCTGTTCAAATGTTACGACCGGGCTTAAGCTAGGCTTAAGGGCGGCGTCGGTTTTGTGAAGCAGGGAACGATCAAGTCGTTCGGCGCCGTCGGCTTGGGCGATCAGCGAGGGGCTTTGGAGGTTCTAGATCTGGGGTTTTGGCTCGGTTTGTCTAGACGCGGCGTCCGGTCTAGGATCGAGTTTGTTCAGATGAGGTGTCCTCTTCTGAGGCAGGTGTCCTGCTAGAGCTGATGTGTATTCAAGGTTCTGATAATAAAGTTCTTCAGTAGTTAAGATTCGAGGGGTATCGTCTTGAGGTCGCACAAGACGATATTGAGAATTCTGGTGAATTCAACTGAAACACTATAGGTACAATACAAGTGAACAGGTTAGCAAATCTCGACTACAAGGGTCCAATATTTATACTAGTACAAGTCCGTGAGAACTGTCACGTCATATAGGTCCGCCACATCAGCCTATGAGTCTGTCTGCTCTGCCGAGCCGGAGCCAAGCCACGCCGCGGTAGTCAATATTTGAATAAGATATCGTGTCCGTAGTTCTTCCCTACGTGTCCAGCCAATTATCGTACGTGTTCGAAGTATGTATATGTGTCCAATTTAAGTATACGTGTCCATCAGAGAAAGGGATATGTTTATAGAAGGGTTTAAAGGGATTTTAATGAAAAGGGGTTGAGCCGAAGTCCGGGAGTGTGTCGCCTAACTAGGAACGCGGTAAAGGAAAAGAAAATGAAAAGATAAACAAAGTAACAAAGAAGAAAAAGTGTCCATAACAGGGCATGGCTGATCCTTAGCTGCATGGATGAGGCTATCCCATAGAAGTACAAAAATCAATTGTGGCCACACTATACGTGGCACACTTGCTATGACTCTCCTTGCCTGAAATTGTAAGAACTCATCTTTATGTATATGAGCAACTGTACAGTCTATCATCAGAATCTGAACTTTAATATTACCTGTGGGTGGTCTGCAGGTGGCTTGTGTGGTACAAATAGACCAAGTCGACGCCGGCAGGAGGCTTTACTTTGTACTGTGGGTGCTTTGCATTGGTTGGCCATGACTCTTGCGTTCACAGTTGAGATCACTCGCTCACTGTCATGGCCGTCCTGACATGGCCTATTTATTTTTCTTCATTTTCCCCTATTTCCCTTCCTATATCGCTCGTGATCCGGTTCACTCTTCCCTTTCCTTTCGATTGACTCGCTTCCTACGAATATCCGGACTATATTTATAAACACTTACACGTACACCCCATGCCTCCCCGCTTCTCCGGTTTCCATGCTATTCTTATACTATTACTCATCATGCTTACCTTACACTGATGTGTCCTCTCCTTGGCTTACAAATCCTTGTTCCCACACTTACGCATCCCCTTTCCCATGCTTACATGTTCCCTTCCCCTTCTACGTATATATACTTTGAATACCTTCACCTTCACTTTCCCTTAACTTGATCCTTCCCTTTTAGTCACCTGGTACTTTTGGATATTTACCAGCCCACTGTTGCACTTGGTATGGTTACCAACAACAACTTTGACTACACATACTTGATCTATCTCCACGCCCACCAGGCCCTTTGAAATATACTCGTTATCTTGGTTCTCTCTCCATCGTTCAGCACGCCCCGTCAAACTCGAGTGCAGACTAGACTTTAGGTTGCCCACCTCTTGATCACGCCCCCAGCCGCAATCTTGAGCTATGAACCACCCTTCGGATACTATCAACATAGTCCGATCTCACGTAACCCAGCATCTAGGGTTCTTACATTCGGCCTTAGCCGCTCATCTGAGTGCTCAAGCTTAGAAGTCCGCAGTGGTCGTGACACTCACACCTCCAACTCCTCAAGGACCTTGTTCTAGTACTTCCTGAAGGTCTTCCCCTCAATGACTCTGTGGAAGCCTTTGCTCTAGATCCAAGCGATGTCAAAGATGAAGGCTCTACCTATGCCCTCAACCATTGCTTTGAAGTGAACTGGGACCACAGAAATGATGGTACCATAATCACGGAGCACAGAACGAAACTCATATGTACTCTTGTGATAATTGATGAGGTCATTCTGACAGCGACAAACATTGGCATTGTGATTCTTTGGATTGACGCGCTCATTCAGGCGGAAATCAATGCTGGCGCCATTTTATAAGCCTATTTTACCCTTCTCTGATGATATTTTATGTTCACAAACTCAAACTGATGTGTCTTCGTCATCAGGGCAACCACTTCCTTCTCCACTAGTACATCAGAGCAGGTGGCTCGGGCTCTGTCACCCTCTGTAGCTCAAACATCCTAAGCTAAACCTTCGAGTCTGTGAGTATTTGGCAGATTATACATTGCTTTAGTCATTGATTTTTGAATAGTGTCTCTTGTGCCTCCTCTACCACATCTAAAATTGAAGCATCAATCTCAAAGGTAGCTTCACACCTGAAGAAGTAAGTTTATAACTCATTTGTCCAAGTATCAGAGTCTTTGGTGCAGGCAGATGTTGCAGATTCGGAAATTAAGCAGGTAAATACCGATTTGACAGTCTCTGCAGCCAAAACTACTCACATACCTTCCAATTACTTCTTGTTTCATGTTACCACTACAACATTGTGTTCTATTTCGAGCCTGCCTGATGCGGCATCGATCTCACGAACTTCTCCAAATGGAGCCACAGATGTTTTGCGCCCCATTTCAAACATCGCAACACCGGCCACTCCTCCTGTCGTTCCCATGACTGTTGTTGCCCCAATTCAAGACCTGGTTCCCGCTCCTAATCCTTCCATCATCACAATGTCGACCATCCTCTTGACCAAAGACACTTACCTTCTCAATGTCGCTGTTCAAGATAGCTCTACAAATCTGGCCGCGCTGCACACTGATGCAGAATTACGGGTTACAAACCCACGAGGTCGCAAAAAACCCACTCGCACAGGACCTGTGGACTCCAATTTCTTGACTGGTCACGGGAACGTGAAGAAACGTGGCAGTGGCGGAGGTAAGAAGAGGAAGGAGATATCGGAGAATGACTCTATAGCTACTGGGGGTGGCTCTTCGAAGCAAAAGAAAATGCAGGCGCTTCTAGCGACCGGCTCTGATTCTAGTACTCAAGGAGAGGCAGGATCGACAGTGTCGTCCTCTTGAGGGTTGATGATTCGGATCTCAGCTCGGCTCCATGTCTGATTTTTCTCACACATATTCAATACTCACACTTCCTGATGTTTTTATGACCCTTTACGATGTTCGTAAGATTAGACACGCTGTACTAATGAGATCAATGTCTTTGTTTGCAACCATAAATTGAATATAATATTCTAGGCAACAATCAGGCAGGGACATGAGGACAAACTACCAAAGAGGCAACGGCGACGGCCCGGCAGGGATAAGGGACGTCACCTGACTTCCGAGAGGTATAGCAGTACGGCGATCACATTGTATGATAATTTTGTTTTCACCGCTATATGTCGATTATATATATATATATATAATCTGTGATTGCTGTATCCTCTGGTTCGGAGTCCGGACTGACTGGGCTGTTCTCAGCAGCCTTTGTATCTAGTTCAAGTTTAAGGTGACAGGCTTGCAGTACTAAAGGGTTGGATGTCGGGCAGGCCTCTTTTTAAAGCCTTACAACAGTAAGCTAGATATTTGCTACAACCTGTGAGATCCCCAACTAACTTGAAATCTACTCCTTCATACTATCACAACCTCAAAATTCATTCTCATTCTCATCGTCCTTGATCATGTTCAGTTGGCACGTCCTGGTAGTGTGAATACAAAGTCAATGCCTATGAGGATGGCTAATACAATTCACAAATACATACCTGTGTACTCATTTCACCACTCCACTCTAGCCTCACATTCTCGACGGACTTGGTTCATTGTGTGACCATGTGAAGTCTTTTCAGGGTATCTTCTCATGGACTCCATCAGAGCCTATAGTGAGAAGCTCTGCATGTGCATTCCCAGAAGACCTGGGAGGCTGAGGGTTTGGTGATGATCGATTGCCGAGATGTGTGATTGGATGCTGCACTATGGTACCCTGTGCACGTCTGTGATCGCAGAATGAATGGCGGGGCATCTCTGTACAATGTTCATCCTCGCTGCGGAACATCCTGAAAGGTTGTCAGATCTAATTTCCACAAGAGACATGTAATAAGACTTTGTACCAAGCAGTATTAAGTTGAGTGTGAAGAAGAATACCCCACCGTATGTAGCAGAAATTGAACTCATCAGGAAGACAGTTCTGTCTCTGCAGCTGACAGCGCAGACTGTGACGCAAGGCATCTCGATCAGCATAGATGAGAGATATGTAATTAGTGCAATAGTAAAGGTTCATCCCGGTGGACCCAAGCTGATTCAATCCACCCTCCTTTGTTAGGTGGTCCATGACATATATTTGCTTTAAGATGAATGGTTTCAAAGATTCCTTCAGGATCTCTGCATCCTACACCATGTTATGATATAAGCCAATTCAGTCAACAACAAGTCATGCAATATTCAAGTTCAGACAATGGTGAACTTACCTCTGCATGCTCGAACAGGATATTGATGTTTTTTGAGGTGACGCTCGGTGACATGTATGAGTAAGTTGTGTACGAATCCACTGGTCATCCTCCAGGCGCAGCTCGTAAGCTCACAGGTATCATGATTCCATATGTACAAGATTCAAAGGATTTGCCTCGCTTGACACCCTTATAACCTTTCAATCATGTGTCCTAAATGCTCCTCTATGAAGGCTTTGAAGTGAACGGCACTGACCTGAAGTGAAAACTAATATGGATCAATATTAAATGAAATAATCAGAGGCAGTATAAGGACAGATTATACTATAATGCTGCTTGTCACTAATTTTCTGCTCCTATGTTGGTGTAAAATCTTCGATTCCTAGATCCTTAAACCACTGTTCATCGGTCTTCTTCTCATATTCTGCAGGTGCATTGAGGAGAGTAATGTCTCGTCCACACCGTGCATATACATCAGGTCTAGCTTGCACATTGATCCATTTGAATGTGTTGGCATGGAGGATATGATCAGTCAACCCATCATTGAGATCCTACAGACATGGTGCATTCAAATAATCAAAAATGTCAAACTTGGAGTATACCGAAATTAGAATATTTGACCTTGGGGTGAAGAATGTTATCGTTCTCTGCAGGACTCAGATCATATCCATGATATTCTCCAATATTCTCTATCAATATATTGTCCACATGTCGGACACATTTCTGTTCCGCCGATTGGTCTTTACAGGTTTGGCATACTCCTGCCCCACATTGAGCTAAGTCTCGTCTCATAACAATATTGATGTGTTTATCATAATAGTGGACTTACCTTTCTCTTTTTCCCCATCTTTAAGACTTTCCTTCTCATATTTTGCACGAGGTTGTTGTGATGTTCTTCCTGTTGTGTCGGCCTGTGGACAGTGCGGTCGGAATGCATGTTTGTGAGCCGTCTTTCTGACATCGAAGAAACAATACGTGTTCACAAACTCAGCGCTCGTTCACGTTTGGGATGTATTCGGCAATGGCTGCATAGGGTGCAAAACAGTATTTTCTGAGGTTTCGGATGGTATGGCGCTTGGTGCGAGCATCGATAGTGCGAGGTCGACCAGGATGAGGGAGATCCTGGTGTGTATGGAACTTCCTGTCTCGTTCGAGGGTGTACTTGACTGTAGAGTGGTGGCAGTCAAATTTTTGGCTAATAGCCCGATAAGACCAGTCAAGATCGACAAGCTGGAGGATTCTCCTGCATTTAGAGGATGTAAGTGGTCCATTTGAACGTGCGGGAATAGTCGTAGCAATGAAGACATGTCGTGTAACGACGTGCGGAACTCGAACACTGACCTCACGTGACCGTGGCTAAAGACTTTCCGTGGCCACGAGTACCACCTTTATAAATGTACCTGGTAGTCAGAAGGGGCTCTTTACAAAGGTTCCTCTGGCCCAAGATTTATAAATGTCAGTACTGGGCTGGCTATTGGGGCGGCCAGGGATGGTTCTGGATGGCCGGGTGGCCCAGGATGATAGGGTAGGGCGTATAGAGGTGGTCCTGAGGGTAGGGTAGGGCGTATAGGGGTGGTCCTGGGGGTAGGGGATGGGGTAGGGGTGCTGGAGAATGGGTAGGGCGGGTAGGTAGGACGTATATGGTGAAACGGGCTGGGTTATATATGGATAAAATGGGGAATATGAGCAGGGATGATCGTAGGGTGAATAGGGATAGAATGGTGGCCGATAGAAATACGGAAAAATGATAGAATAATAATAAGGATGCTAGGGTGGAGGTACTGGATACCTGCAGCATCCACTCGCTCAAGTGGCTCAAATTCAAACAAAGAAGATAAAACAAAAAGAATAAAAGAAATTTTATCTTCTCCTGGCCTTTGGCTCGACTTTCATCATCCCGTCCCTAATCTGTGATTCCCTTCTCGTCACCATGGCCGCTCCACACACCTGTGCTGATACAAAGACAAACGGACAGCCATGCCCATGTCAACGATTCAAAAAGCCGTTAACTCCACTAGACTCTGAGCCCGAACTATGTCTCGACTGTCTCCATATTGAGAGTGCTCATCCTCTAGAAAACGAGTTAACTTCTAGCGATAACTAGTTGACCTAGAGAATTCTCAAAAATGTGCACTCTGCTGTGAATGTATTACACCTTGAGGATGTGGTGTCCCCGGAGGACGCAAAGGCAAAAGCGCTCTTGAGGTTTCGCCCTACAAAAGGAAGTGACAATGCTGCCACTTCAGGCTCTTCGAGTAAGGCATCAGGGTCAGGGAAGCGTACATCCGAGGGAAAGTAAAAGGGAAAGGTGACTGATTGTCTTACGGAAGAGTCTGCATGGTGATACTGATTTTTGAGCCACCGCCACCTGATCCTCCTACAGCAAAATAAGTCGAGTGGCGATGAACCTTGGATCAAGATTGGGACTGTAATTTTTATTGGACTCGTGGTTCCACTACGGCTCTGCAGCACAGCCCGTAGCACTGTGCTCGGACTCTATCTACTTACCGTAAATACTGGGCGACGTGTCGAATGCTATTCCCACAACTTTGATCCCCCCTTCTCGAGTGATCTCCCACCTAAGAATATCTTTCAACAGTTATATTTCCTAATAGCTTAGAAGAGGTGAGCATTGCTTTCTGGATATCAAGCTTACCGAGATTTAAGCTGAAGACTTCTCATTTCTCTAGCGTGTCGAGGGTGACAATGACGAAGCATACAAATGCAAATATTTGTCTCCCAATGCATGTCTATCCCTTCGGAAGGCAGGGTTGCTGCAAGATCTCAACAATACCAAAGCAAAGACACTTCGCTTCAAATTCTCTCAACACCAACTTCATGAGGCGGTTGTTTCCAAATGTGTTTGGGTTCATTGAGAAGGAGATGAGTGATGCTGTTGAGAGTAGTGACATATTGCGGGCATTTATGGTGAGAAATGAGGGCTCACGAGAGAAGGTTATGGTCTTGAAGAAGGAATTGGTGACCGGACAGGACCTGAGGATGGCGAATACACCAGATGGATGGGGTTGAAAAGATCAGACGCTCTACTTCGGTAATTTCTACTTTTCTTGACTGTCGTGCCACAGGTTCCATATCGTTAACACAATCACTCTCAGTCCTACGCAAAACAATCCCTGATCATATCTGGTGGAGCATCACAGATGATGACTCCTGGGACTTAAAGACCCTCAAAGTGTACGATCGTGTTACAGGCCTCTTCGAGAAGAAAACAGCGACGTCCTTGAAAAGGGTAGCTGGCGGATTGGGAGGTGCGAAGAGCTTGAGGAAGCGGAAGGGGAAGGAGAAGACAAATGCTAAGGCAAGGGCAAAGGCACAGAAGGATGTTAAGGGCAAGGGGAAAGCAAAGGGGAAAGCAAGAGTCGTGGATTCGGAGTCAGAGGACACCAGCAGTAGCGAGATGGGAGGTGAGACAGGGGATGAATTGCCATCAGAGTCGACAAAGGTCTCTTCACGTGGTACGTCTTTATGCTTTTTAGAAAACAACCTTGCGATGCTGAAGAGGCTACAATTTGCAGGAAACCGATACCAAAGAAGAGTTCCCATTGAACTTCACAGGCAATTGAGCTGTTGTCGGTATGTTTTCAGCCTGCTAATACCTTTCCTTCCTGTCAGCTGAAGCATGTCTTTTGACAAAGGATAACAAGATTGACAATGACGATGTAGAGATTCTTGAGGCCGATCCTTCCACCACGCCACCCGACCTGCCCACCACATCCATTCCCTCCACATTCCCTGCGCCTGCTGCCACTGCGTCCTCGTCGGCCTCGGTCTTGATGTCTCATTTAACAGGGCCCTCGTTGGATGTTCCTACTTCGCTTCATGTAAACCCATCGTCTATGCCCATCACCGTCAGCCAACAACCTGTGTCATCCCTCATGTTCCACACTGGTATCTCATCGTTATTGTCATCAAGCTCAGCTGCAGCTGTCGTCAGTAATCTATCATCTTTGCCCGTCACCGCCAACCAACAACTCGCCTCATCCTCCATACTCCCCACTGGTGTCCCGTCGTCATTGTCATCGAGCTCGGCTGCCACCAGTACACCTATGCCATCACCAAATGGTCTATATCTTCCTGGTGGTTTAATGACCCAAGCCTCACACCACTACTCTCCGAGGCAGCAGCTGTGTGACTCACCGTGGTTCTGCCGTAATACGGGCCCATCGTATGGGACAGTCATATCTGGCTCACCTCTAGTATCTACCCCTTCGACCTTAAGTAGCCGTCCCACCAGTTCATGTCCGGGAGATAAGAAGAAACCCAGGTTTGGTTTTCATGATCCCAGAAAACCGAACAACAACCCTTGGAAAAAGGAGAACTAGAGTTGTTGATGTTCACGCCAACGTCTCCCCTCTTTGCAAGTAGATAGACAACCAAAAATGAAGGCTTCATCTTCATACTTCTCTTCTTTTCTCAATGCTACACAGGGAATAAAACGAGTACAGTACCTGTACTCTTGACCACGAGTATGGATGTCTGCAAGTACGGATAGAGGAGAGTACAGGTACTTGTGACTAAGGAGGTATCTGCAAATACTTCCATAGCAGATATAGTTTTTTTTTGATTTATTGACATAGCATAGGTGTAACACCCTTTTTGTTGGGGTGTAGTGTTTTAATTTAAGTTTTGTAGTCTTCAGTTAGGGTGGGTCATCTTATCTTATCATTCCAGTATTTGCGGGGATTTTCTGCATGTATTTACTTGCTCAGCCACTTTGGCTAGTAATCATTGTCATACTATCATCTGGTTTATCTCCATTTCCCTTTTTGTTTTTCTTGTTGACATGAACATCTCAGTCAGGCATTATGTAGACCATGGATGGCCTTGCCATAGTATCAGAGGATTGGCAGGACACTATGTATCCCTTCAACCGTGCTAGCCTGAGTGTATGTACCTCCATCATGGTGCCAGCATGCAAGCATAGTCCCCGATGAACTGTGAGGGGCTCCCTTCCTTACTCTTCTCATATTTCTCACTGAGAGGAGCCCTTGAGTGTGAAGGTCTTTTCTAATATCTCTTCATGTCCCACTACACCCAACACAAACAATTTGGACCTTTGTAAGGTGTGCGGCCCAAAGTGCATCACAGTAGGCCAGGTCAGGCTAGGTTATGTTCTTCATCGGCGAGCAGGCAGTCACCAGCGTCGAGCATACTGTACCCTAGGCTAGGCTGGGCTAGGTCATGATCTTTATTAGTGAGCAGACTGCCATCAACATTGAATATCCCCTGCTCTAGCTTAAACTACTAGGTTAGGTTATGTTCTCTATTAGCACACATCAAGGTGCCCTACCTGATATGCAGAAAATCACATGACTTCTAACTTTATTTTTCAAACTGATATATTGATGCATTAATGACCTACTCTAATCAAGTCATGTTAAATTCAAAATAATTATGATAATTGTCTGATAAATGCACAAGTATGTCACAAGTACCTGTGGTCACAAGTACGAGTACCTCTACTCTTGCCTCCCTTGCATCCTTGTCTCTGTACCTCATCTCTGTGTCTGTGTCTGTGTGTCCTGGGCCATTAGCCCCTCCCTGAGCTTCTATTCCTGACACCTTGAAAAGTAGGTACTACTGTGTTTATGTACTTGCACTCATCTGATGTGTTGTAGGACTCCTGTTCGGGGCACGGTCCCCAACCTGACCAACTCTGAGAGCGAAAGCGAAGAGTGGCGGATCCCGAGGCGCGGAATCCGGCCCTCTGCGGCCCGCTTGGTGGCGAAATAACTAAAGTCATAACTCTGCAGTAAGTGGTCCTATCAGCCCCGGAAAAATAGCTAAAATATCAGAGAAATCCGCTCTGTCTCGTCGTTATACTCTGGACAAGTCGGCGATCCGATTACACGACCTCAGTACCAACAGCATGCCAGTACACCTTTCTTCTTCTTGTTTTTGTCTACTTGACGACTGACAGTTAATCCTCACAGTCCATGGAGGTTGTGACTGATCTCGAAGACAACGATGAGCCCCTTGTCGCCTCTGCGGCTCCACCCCTGCCTCTACCTCCCCAACCTCCTTTGTCAATCTCAATTGGTTCCATCAAGTTCCCACCATGCAACATTGAGCTTGTCCTCCCGGCACCTGGTCGCCGCTTCCTATCCCTTAGAGCCCAACCGCAGCCCATGCAAGATGTATTCGAGCCGGCCCTTGACAACCGGGCATGCGACATACGGTGTTGACGCATTCCCTGATCGTCATACAAGGGCTGATATGAAGGTTAGAGCCCTTCTTGCTGCCCTTCAAGGTATGAGTCATCACGACGTTGAGACTCGTATCTGGAACAATCCTGTTTATACGTGGTTGTTTGGATCTTTAGTGTGTCCCTTTGCATCTGTATTGGCCAGACAGTGTCGTGCTGGACGAGTTCGACTTGCCAAAAAAGGCTACAGAACGTGTGCATGAGGTTTTCTGCCTGACTGCCGTGTGCACTCATCTGTACCCCCTCAGCTCCAATGGTGTACGTTTTCCATTCTAACATGTCTTCTAACTTCTAACACCCACCATTGGTAGAAACTCGATCAAACCCGATCCTTCTACCACCAATCCATTCTTTCAACATTTCATAAGAAGTTTCTATCCCGTTCTCTGAACTTCCTTGAGATACATTCTTGCGAGCTCAGAATCGCTCGTTCCGAGGATGACGCTACACCGGTGCATGTCCCTGGCCCTATGATTGTATTTGTTGCCATTGCGGTAAGTCTTCACTTGTTCATGTTCATGTTCTGTTCTGGGGCCTTATTCATGTTTTAGGTTTATGCTTCCCTGATCGAGTGGAGGAATGGTCATCACGCCGCGATTGAGTTCTCCCGTGACAATTTCAACCACACCTACATGCAGTATTGCAAGCGGTTTGAAGATCTTCGTGAGAGGTTTGGCGTTGATGTCTATTGCCAGTACCTGTTCCTTTTCATGTTGCACGTATTAATCATGTACCGTTACCAGGGCTTTTGACTCCGATGACGACATCTCTATCGATGCTGATGATGATTGGCTTTGATTACTTCGCGATTTGCGGCTCATGTGTCCGGAGTATTACGACGAGACAGAGGGAATTTTCCTGATATTTTAGCAATTTTTCCGGGACTGATAGGACCACTTACTGCAGAGTTATGACTTTAGTTATATCGCCAGCCAGCGGGCCGCAGAGGGCCGGATTCCGCGCCTCGGTTCCGCGCCTCTGCGTCCCGTTTAGGCAGGTAGTTTTCCAACTGTATAGTAGACCGGTAAGCGCCGGAGCGCGTCCTTTTAACTTGTGGGAAGCGTCCTTGTCTCTTTATCATTGACAGTGACGCTTCTCACAGGTGAGTCTTACTATAGATTTCGTCTCTTTCTTTTTCTATTACTTTGTGAGGGCAATATCATTGACAGTGACGCTTCTCACAGTCGTTCTTCGAGTGCTCGATTATCTGCGCCTCACAGGTTATGGGCCCTGCGCTTTAAATCGCCTCAGAAC